TACTTAGATTTAAAAAAAAAGACACTATCCTGTGGAGAATGCTGTTGCATGTCCAGAAAAATGTGTGCTTCTTAGACCCAGCACCAGGGATAATTTTGACTCTCCTGACAAAATGAGGCCTTCCTTTTTCTCACGAGTTGAGAACGCTCTTACCCAGCTTGTCTCCCTTGTGGCCTTGGTTGCTAGGAAATTCAGAGCTAACTCTGGCACTCAATTTCAGTAATCCTGCAGGCCAAGCTTTTGAGAACAAGTCTTTTCCCTTTAAAAAATATTTTTATTGATCTCATTTTTTCCCCTAGGGTCACATTATAGGTGTGCTTTAAGATAAGCTACCTCTCTTTCGGGGTCATGGTGGACTGTAAATTACAGCAAGTACTGCAGTGGCCCAGCCTGTGACGGTCCAACACCCACTTCATTCTCCTTGGCCCGTGCTCCTAGCTCTGAACTTGTGCTCCTTGCAATAAGCTATGTTTCTGTTAGTCACAGCCCCTCTTTTCACACTAAATTTGTTGCTTTTTTCCCTGTATAAATTTTTTGTTGTAATTTCTAGATGCCTCCAAATATCAGAAAAAGTGGTGGGGTGCATGGAGTAGCATGAACCTCTCTGTATTTATTCTTATCTCTAGACCCAGTTTTATAGAACTGCCAAGAAGGAAATTTCCACTTAGACCAGAACCTTTCAGCACGCAGACTGCTGACCTGCGGGCAATGACTGCTGATAGGATAGCCTTCATTGCTACTTTACTTGACTTTCAGTTTGTGGCCATCACTTGACAGAATTAAAAATTGACTCTGCTCTAACTGCTCATTTTTTGAAGGGGACATTCTGTTCCAGAAGAGATGTTGTCCAGGAGAAAAAAAAAGACTCTGTACTGTACCCAGAAACCAAAATTGGATGGGTCAGGGCCCAGGCCTCCAAGTTGTTGGATTCCTGGAGTTCATGGTCTCACACAGGCCATGGATGACCTTTCTTTAGAGCCATGGACAGTTGGACAATGTGCCTTGACAAAGTCTGGCTGAGTTTGACATCCTGGCAAGCAGGTGGTAAAGGACACGTCCCCTTAATTTAAACAAAAGTCCTACCCAGGCCTCCAAGGGCTGAATGGAGCAGGAGCCCCTAAGGGAAATCCAAAGGAAGAAGCAAGGGCAAAACTTTTCAACAGTAAGAGGGTCACACTTGCCCTCTAGGGTTTCAGCCTCCCTCTTGAGTTTCTGGAACTTTAATGCTGAACTGCCCTCCCTTAATCCCTAGACAAGCTGAGACTGAAACCATGCTGAGAAAAACAAAAAGGAAAACAATTAGCATAGAGTAGATGGGGTTCACAAAAGCCATCATTCTAAGAATCCCGGGAGAAGCATTGAACAGCTTTTAAAAGCACATTTCTTTTGCTCCTGAACCACAGAGGATGGTTTATATCCCTTTTATGCCTCTATCTGAGTGCCTCTCCTCCCGATTCTGGGTTTCCCCAAGATAAATACCATCTTGTTTCCCTTGAAATGTCAACTCTGCTTTCCCTGGTTGGAATCTTCCACGTTACTTCCTGATTTCCCGCCTGCCCTTCCCCTACTCCTTCCAGATGCACGGTGAAGAACTGGTCTACTTCCCAAGGGCATAATGATGAACTGACATTCTTGAGCCCCAGTGAAGGTTCTAGCCCTTCACAGCTTAAGTTATCTGCCTCTCTCACACAGAGTCATTCTTTACAACTCATCGCCGGGATGTCCTGACCCATCTATCCCTGGTTGTGAGGGATCTGGAAGTGATTTAATATGGTTTAACATTCAGGGCATCCCTCGTAGACAGCGTCAATAACAGAGAGCAGTCATTTTCTCACACAGGTTGAGGGCAGGGTCTTTGCATAGTAGGATCTGCTCCCTGCCAGTAATGAGGACATTTTTCACAAGAACTTTGTTCTTTACTTCACTTAGACTTTCATGGTGATGAGTTTCGTTTGTCACATTTTTATCACTGTAGTTTTCTCTCTCCAGTCTCCATTTTCCTTAAGCCAAGAAGTACTCCCAGACAGTGAGATCTTGCATCGTGATTTCAGTGTTTGCGCTAGAGAAATGTAGGGACACCCAGTTTAAAGGATTTATTAATAGGAAGTTGTTTAGTGGCTGGGGAGCACCAGAGGGCCATTATTTTGACGCACAGAACCTATCTTATAAGAGGTGGCGGAGATGAGATCTTGTCTCTCAGGAAACGCAGACCTTCCCAAGTGCCCAGCAAGTGGGTCTTGGCATATGGCTGACTTGAATTCTGATTATTCCAGAGCCAAGATTTTCTGAAAGTTTTAAAGCCGGGAGAGAGCAGTAAGGCCCGTTTCTGATTTTGTACATAATAGAGGAAGCAAACAACAGGCACAATAATGAAAAGCAGACTAGTTCTTTCTTTGGGAGATTATAACCATATTTGCATAAACGTTAGTATCATGGCTTCATCTGGCTTAGGCACCAAAACAGTCTCTTGTTTTATTGACCTTTGTTTCAATAAATCAGGCCAGACTGAAAAAATAACATCAGAAGCCTGTAATTATGGATTTGTATGGCCCAGGATGCTTCCTTCGGCATACTTCAGATTGTCTTTTCCAGGAATTGATGAGAACAGGTTGCATGTGATCAAGAAGCCTTATCCTCTATCAAACACTCTTGGCATGACAAAGGCCAGCATGACTGATGAAATACCACAGCTAATCAGAAAAACACGCTAGGAGAAAGCAACATGTAGCTGTTGGAAACCCAAGACAGGAAACCATCTTACAATCAGCAGAGGAGTCTCTTATGATTGAGGTATTCATGCTCCCAGATCCAGCTTTCTCCCTGGGCTCACGTGAGCCCCCTTGCTCCACTCTTGCTTGTCCTTCTTCATCTTCTTCCCAGACTCTTCTTTCCTCATCCGACACACTCTCCCTGTATCCTCTCTTCAGCTGAGATGTCTGTTGTAGCTAAGCTTTGCATCCATATATCGCATTCTTAATTCGTGTCCCACAGGTGCATAAAACTCAACATAACCCCAAACTGAACCTCTCATCTCCTTCTACAAACTACCCCCCTTCTAAAGCACCCCCCCTCCCCGCCACTTCCTGCCCTACTTATTTTGGCAAATGGAGCCACAGTTCATTCATGTTACCTCTTCTTTGGTTCCAAATCTTCCTGCCTTCTTCTGTATTCTGTGGGGGCTCTGGCCCTGTTTGCTAGTTGCCAGCCAAGTTCTGTCCTTAACTCCGTCCATCCTTGGATGCCTCCCTTAGATACATCCATTCTCTTCTCTGGACCTCACTTTCCTATCACTAAGGACCCTTTTAGCTCCCTATTTCTGAGTCTTTCCCTTGCCTGGGGCGGGATAGAGTCAATAAAGAGCCTTAATATTTGGCTTAGCTAAGTGTTCTGTGTTAGACTAGACTGTCATTAAAAACTCATAATCGTGGAAAGAAGTATATTGTTATAAATTATACAAGGGCCTAGCATTTATCAGTGATTAATGGGTGAGACAGAACAAGATTTGTTTTGTTTCCATGAATTTTCAGTATTTTAATCTTCCATGAACATACACAGTGAAACAATGCTCAGATTTTCAAATTGGAAAACAACAGAAAGAAGCGGATTATTGGGTTTCATTCAGAAAAGGGAAGTAGAAGTAATCTCCACGCATCGTGGGGCAGATAATGTTCGCAGAGGAGCCCCGACTTAGAAACAGCATCCATTCAGACAAGCAGTTGATATCTGAAGGCATGATGCTTGAGCAGTTTGAAAATGAAAATATTTTCAAGTTTTAACTGTGCCTCTTAAAATAAATGAAAAGTGTGAAACCCTTTGGTTTAGAAGCTCAGTGCTGTTAAGAGACCACGGGAGCATAGCTGAGAGAACTTTTCTTTCCTTACTGCCCCAAAAAGCATTGTCAACACCTTGTTGACCTGGCCCTTCTACTTTATTTCTAAGGAGCCAGCTGCATTTTCAAATCTTGAATACATTCACTCCCTTAGAAAGCACTGAAGATGTGGAGTTCGGCAACAAAAATACAGTTGAATGCTCCTGGCTTTGGACACCAACATGTAGCTAGAGAATTGGTGCCCTGAGGCCCCAGCATTAAGACCAGAGGCCTTGGTTAGGCAGGACCAACCCCGCCTCCATCACCCAACTTGTTCAAGATTCTCCAGCTATTATAGAGTGTGACCCAGTTCTGCCTGCTTCTGGTGCCCACGCTGTTTCCACAACTTCAGAGTTGCCTTCAGTTCATTGGCAAAGCCGTTCCCCAAAGTGGCTGACCACTGGTTTTATTCTATGAAAAGTTTCCTATTTGTGAGCATTGAGACCCAGAAATGGCACTGTGGTAGGCTGTCTCCTTTTTTAGGCATACAGTGTGGTCTGGCATAGTCATTTGAACAAAAAAACCAAAGGCACATGACTCTGTTATTAAACCTCTAAGCTAATATGCGTTAGTCAGTCTGTTCAATTCAACAAACGTACGTTAGAAGTCAAATTTATCAGGATGCTTATCAGTCAGCAGGTGCTGGAAACCTATAGGACAGATATGCTCAGAAACTTTATGAACAGATAGGAACACAATTTGCCTTCATCATCAAAGAATTTAATAAATAGTGTGCAGGCAGAGTGGACGTTCTTGAAAATCCCCTAAGAACATACTTAGTAGGAAGTAAAAACAAAGAGAAAAGGAAATGAATAAATGATCAGTTCTTGCCCCCTCCCCACCCCCGACACCCTGGGTTCATGTCATTCTGAAGTATAAAGTCAGAATCGTACTTCCAAGCACAACAACTTACTCTTCTTTTTTCTCAGTGTGCTAATCCCTGCCGCAGCAGGTGGCCTCTCTGGCTTTTCCTAAAAGTTCACTGAGACTTTTCTGGCTTACCCTGGGGACTCCCTAATGTCTAATGTTCACCCACTAGGCTCCAGTTGTGAATTTTTCATTATGCCAGATCATTTTCAGTAAATAGAACTTCAAGCTCAATTAATGCTGTCGGATCCAATTTTTGTCTCACCTGCTCCGAGCTCCACTCTGTGGTGTTGGCAGTAAGTGCCACTTCCTCGGGAAAGAGGAGCTTCTCCAGAGATGGGTGTCGGCAGCCCTTTGCTTCCGCCTCTTTCCGGACTCTGGAGCAGTCCAGGGGGACACATTTCATCCAGCACGTTCTAAGTGTGTTGTCTAGAAAGCCAGGGCCATGGATGTGGCGGATTGAGATCCCCCAATGGCCCCTGAGGGTGGCTGGGCACTTCTTGTGAGGCAGTGGTTCTCCAAGTGTGCGCCCCAGCCCGGCAGCATCTGCCTCACCTGGGAACTTGGTAGACGTGTGAGTTCCAGCCCCACTTCCTAGAACTGCTGAATCAGAGACGCTGGGGGTAGAGCCCAGCTAGCTGTTTCACAAGTTCTCCAGGGGACTCTGATGTCTGATGACGTCTATGAGCCACTGTCGGGAGATGTGTTTCAGACTAATGAAAGGCATAATTTCATTCTATTTTGTGAAAATTCTCATAACCTAGGTTTTATTTTCTGATTTATAATTTTTAATGCAAATCAAAAAATCATCATTTTCATAATAGTAATTCAGCTTTACCCTGATTGCCCTAAGCATAGGCGGTTGCTCCCTGGTTTATTTCCCTAGTCCCTTTCACACTTGCTTTGTCCCATTTGGCACATGGTGTTGTTTTGTTTCTGTGAACATGCTCGCCTCCTGCCGTGCCTTTGGGCTGCCTGAGGGCCGGAACTTTGTCCCACTTATCCGTGCACACCTAGGGCCCAGCTCCATGAAGGGCACACAGAAAAGACACAAGGTTTTTGAGTGAATCCATTCTTTAATGTTTTATAATTTTCGAAACTATGCTGTGGCATTAAGAAGTAGAACGAGCAGATGAGAAAACTGAGAGGTTAAGTACAGACCGAGAGCTAAAGGCCAAGGCTTGCCTCAGTTTGGGAAAGGTAATGGCCAAGTTCCTTAAACGCTGCAACGCTGCCCTCCTGAACTCAGCTCCACTCAGGAAGCCTGGGATACTTTAGCTCTTCAGGGGCAAAGCCCTCGATTGGCTCCCAGGCAGGCAGATCCCACCCCCTGGCTGGGGTGAATTTACTAGTTGTGTCATCCTTGTACCACTCAGGATGCTCGGGCAGGGTGACTTGGGGTGCCAGCTGGTGGGTGCAAAGACTGAGAACGGGAGAAGGAAAGGGAATTATGCCGAAAAATAGGAGTGGATTTTAGCATGATCGGAGCTACAGCCCCCGACATATTGTTAGTCCTTGGAAAAGTGGAGCAAAAAGGAAGGGATGTGAGCTTCCAGGGAAGCCAGAGTTTAAAGCTCATGCTTGCTTCTCCACCAGGCTGCCTTCCGGACACCAAGGTGACAGCAGCAGTGGGCAATGTACTGTGCGACACCCCCTGTAAGCAATCTGGCCGGGCGAGGAGGATGGGGAGAAGAAGGCTGTGGGCATGGGATGAAAACAGTCACTGGCCTGCAAAAGGCTTGAGGCCTGCACTTTCCCTCACTAACCTTAGCATTGAACTCTGCACGGCTAAATTCTTTGGCTCAGGCTCTCTGACTTCGGACTCTGGGATATAAGGCTTGTAACCCACTTGTAAATCATCATAAACTGGAGTAGAAGAAAGCAGATGCCAGCACAGGCTGTGCCCCGCCCAAAACATCCACTCGTTCATCACAATGGATCACTGTCCCATCAGAGTCCCTGCTGATCTCACAGCTTTGACTCCCGCTTCGGAGCACTGACTGTACGTCTGACCCTGTCTTGCTTCCTGAGCTGCAGTGCTGTCTCTCTAATTGCCTGCTGGACACCATCCATCAGCACCCCAACTCGCTGTGCTCCCGAACAAATCCGTCACCTTCTCTTCGAGTCCAGGTCCCTCTCCCAACTGGTGTGTCTCTTTCACTGGCACCTCTGTATTCCTATACCAGAACTACGCTTTTTTTTTTGCTTCTCAGTCCCCCATTGGATGGAGGAGTTCAGGGCTAGATGTGACCGCTTTAGTGCTAAGATACAGTTCTAGTGGCCTCTGCTAGTCTGTAGCCAACATCCAAGCTCTTGGTAAAGACATAAGTGAATAGCCAGCCGAAATGGGAAAATAACATAATTTAGGAACTGACTTGTGTTCTTTCTTGACCCCAGTGAGGCATTCAGGGATGTGACCGCCTTCCCTGGGCAAAAACGGCATGTGCCAGGGGGTGAAAAGAGCAAAACAGCAACAATAATCAATACGCTCACTGCTCCCATTCCCGATGCCCTGTGGTGAGTTGTTAGAGTGAAAAGTTAATGGAAGGGGAGAGGGCAAGATAACGCGAGGGTCCCAGCTGCCTTTCCCAAGAACGCTGCAATTACAAAGTAATTGTGAGCTTCTGTGTGAATGGTTTACCTGATCAGTTGAATGCCCTCTGCTTTAGAGATGAGAATCCTCAGACAGAAGGAAGTTATATGCCTTGCTGGCAGCCAAGATTAGAACTCAAGATTCCTGAGTAAATGCTTTGAACATCTGAGGTTGTTTCAGAGCGACCCAAGCCATACTGGGCTTCATCGCAATGAAGATGAGCTTTTCTCTTCTCCTCTAAATACCCTCAGTCATCATCCACAGTTAAGCAAAGGGAAACTAGGGAAGGACGCGAAAGGAAAGCACATTTCAGTGGATGGAACTTTCTTTGCTTGATGATTAAGAGGAATCACAGAGCCTGGGACCAGGATGCTTCAAGCGGCATGGACTCTTGTGTAGATGTGGGTAGAAGAAAATGAAAAAGTTTGGAGCAAAGAAAGAAAAGCACATAGGATATAACCTAGCAAGACAGAAAAATGAAATAAAGAAGACTCATCAGCTCTAATTAAAGGAAATCAATATTTGAAGAGCTGTCTAGTTCAGTCACAGAACAAGAGGAAAAATACTTCAGACATGTGAGCCTCTTAGAAAAGAGAAAAGCAGGCTTTCACGGGGAAGCAATCATGATTTAAAAGCCTTCAAAGACAACCACTTGGTGGATTGATGTGTTGTTGAGGGGACTCAAGCACCTGTTGGGGAGCAGATTAGATGAACTTCTATCCCTGGTAGAGTCTATATTTTTAAGTACATTTCCATATCTTGGCAGCTTTAAGGAGCTGACAGTCATTTCTAGGGAGCAAAGAGTAGCTACCATTTCCCCAGAGAGACTTGAAGTAACTTGTTAACGATAGCTTGAATTTCATCTCTCTTACCACTTACAAGAACGCATGCTGGAAAAACACCAAAAGCTGTACAAATGCAACAGACTCTGTCATCCAGCGGCACTAGCCAACCATGCTTGAGCATCCTTTCTAAGCTCACTTGTCTTTGTGATCCACCTGATGATCAACCATCAGGGACTGGAATCCAATTTTCCCAGACCATTCTTCTTTAGGGACAGAAAATATATGAAATGTGTGTCATCCCTTCCTTCACTCACACTGGTGCCAGACATCGATAATCAATCCCAGTACTCCTTTCCACTGAGCCAAAATGCAGCCTTTTCATTTATTTGTTCAACAGATATTTTTTGGAGCACCCTCTTAAGAGCTAGTTGGAAATACTGCCATTTGCAGCAACATGGATGGACCTAGAGATTATCATTATAAGTGAAGTGAGCCAGAAAGAGAAAGAAAAATGCCATATGATATCACTTATATGTGGAATCTAAAAAAGAAAGGACACAAATGAACTTATTTACAAAACAGAAATAGACTCACAGACATAGAAAACATATATATGTATAACTGAATCACTGTGCCATACACCAGAAATTAACACAACGTTGTGACTCAACCATACTTCAGTTTTAAAAAAAGAGCTAGCTGGAGATAAACAATGAAATATAAACAACATGACAAGCACCACATGCTAAGTACCAAATAAAAGATATGTAGACAATAAGTATTATAGCCCAACTCTCTCTTCTGAAATACTATTTCAATTTCCTAGGACCCTGAAAATTAATTTTTCAAACTTCACTGTTGTTGTCGTTAGAGCAGCACAGCTATTTTTCATGGGTCTGAGGTGAATTATTTCCAAAAAAGAGCTTACAAAGTACCATGGGAAATGCAGAAGTTTCTGTACGCCGCCCATCAAGAAAGGGAGTTGAGGGTGTTTGAAACTGCGAGGTTCTTCCCCGTCAAGTACCTCTCTGACCTAAGAGAAAAATCCAGATTGGAGTGAATCTGATTGCCTTTTTGGGTTAAGTACACTGGATGCCGTTTCAGCGTCAAATTATTCAATCAGAAACACTTTGAAAATGCTGAAGAGTTGGGTGAGTCAGTTTTCCCACCTGAATACAATGTGCTTAATACGGCAAGGTTTGGGGGTTTTTGCCCACTTTTCTGGTGTTGGAGACATTTGTGGAGCCTGTGGAAAATGGCTTACTTGATACATGCAGACGGACAGCCGACCAAGCAGACAGAAGGAGTGCTGGTGTTCATTAAATTTTCGTCTCAGCAACTCACCTGGAATTGTGTTCCTAGGCTTTTGATGAAGCTGGCCTGGGAGGGAGGAAAGAATCTTATCCTCAGAAGAAGACAGCTCCTCCTGAGATGAGGGAGAGGCCGGCACTCCTGCCCTCTGGCATTTTAGCCTTGAAGATTGCAGCCCAGAGAGGAGATGAAAGAAGGCTGCCGAGTGGTCTAGAGACAGACAACATAATAACAACTGAGGTGGGCCTGTTTCTGGTGTGTAGGTTGGAAACGAGCTCTAATTCCAGGCAGCGACCCCAATCTCATATACCCCGATATATCATCCACATCTCTGCAAAGCTTATGCCTCTCAGTCCCTGGGCTTACTGGGATGTTTCTTTCCGTGGCTAGGGTCCTTGGCAGCATCTTAATCTTTGGGTCCTTAACCCACATTTTCCAGTCTCTGAGGCTCCCAGTCTGCAGTTGCAAGACTGTTTTTCCTTTCTCTCTCATGGAGCACTTCTGAAAAACTCAGGGTCTTTCTGGCTCAAAGTGTCAGAATTAGAGCATCTTGTCCAGACTTACCTACTCAGCCTGGAAACTTGTCGGGGAAGGATGACTCTTTTCCCTCGGTGTAAGCCTTTCTATATACAACAGTATAGCTACAGAATTAAACTTCTAGGACCCAAGCCTGACACAGTTCTACTGGCCCCTCCCCAACTCTGAGAAACATTTTGCTGCTGGGAATGGATCTGCTATTTGCATGGAATAAACATTCTGAGTTATTCGATTACTTTCACCCCATTCTTGGTGCCACGCCTTCCGTGTGTGATTTTTCTCTGAGAAAGCTTTTGTGTTTATTCCCCTCAGATCCGCACTCAGAGGCTTTGGCAGTAGGTCAGAGGGGTCTCTCTTCCTATCATTTAAAGGACGACTGCT